AAAGAAACTGAGTACTATGACGTCCTCAGCGTCACTCCCTCCGCTTCTGAGGAGGAAATTCGCAAGGCTTATTATCTTAAGGTCCTCCTCCTCCTCCATTTATCATCTTAATTAGCCCTCGTTTCCTGTCTCGAGTTGGATTGGATTGGATTCGATAACTCACTAGATACGGTGACATGCATCTCTTGCCAGCTTCAACGTATATTGAATCTACTAAGTTACCAAATCTAATCCAATCTGATCTTGGACACCTAACGAGGCCTTAATTTGATAACTTTGTGTACATTTAAAGCGATCTGACCTGAATCGACTTAGAGTGATCTTTGTTTAGGGGTTTATGTTGTCTTTTGTGCAATCTTGGTGTAAATAATGCAACTTTTATTTTCAAATTCTAGTAAACTTCTGTTTATTAATAGGTAGAAGCTAATACTTATGCAGGCAAGGCAAGTTCATCCGGATAAAAATCCAAACGATCCTCAGGCTGCCGAAAGATTTCAGGCAAGTCCACTGCTTTGAGCCCTTCTTTTGTATTGTTTGTTTACCTTTTTTTCGAGGTAACAAAATTCTATAGCCTCTTACGAATCAAATGGAATCAGGTACTTGGTGAAGCTTATCAGGTTTTGAGTGATCCGGTGCAAAGAGATGCATATGATCGAAAAGGAAAGTACTGCATATCTAGGTAGAACGCTTACTTTTGCTTATGCTTGTACACGTGCGAGCACTCCCTCGCGCACACACATATCTAAGCGACCCTATCAGAGCCTTTGTTACTAGATCTCTTTATCGTGTAAGGAAAACGAATATGATACAACTGCAGATAAATTATTCTTCTTCGAATCCTACTGTCTTTTCATTATTCATATAAGACATTCTTGATAACTGCAGATAAAATTGTTTCTGAAAATGTACTTGACAAACTTACCGGTGTTCAATGTAAATGTCAAAGCATGTACAGGGAAAAAGTCCATAGAACTTCTGATTGCACACTAAGCAGTAAAACAATTTGTTAATCGAAAACTTCTCTACCTTATTTGATATGTGCTATGTGCAACACAACTTAAAAGTCTTCTTGTATGTTGTTATCTGTCGTGCATTAATCTTTCTGATGTTCAAATAATTCAATGTCTCTCTTCCAAGGGAAACCATGCTTGATCCCACAGCTGTCTTTGCTTTACTTTTCGGAAGTGAATTATTTGAGGACTACATAGGACATCTAGCAGTAGCATCAATGGCTTCTTCTCAATTAGCTGGTGAAGATGACAGCCCTGAGAAAGTTCATGATAAGTTGAAGGCGAGTAATTTCCAGAATTCATTATATGCCTCTGTCTTTTCTCTTTAGAAATGCATCTGTTCATTTTGCTCATGCATGTGACTGAAATACATAAGAGATGAGATGTCAGGTTACGTCTACATAGAGTCACAAAAACATGATATATAAAATTATATGGGATGGTAGATTGAAAAACTTTGGTTCCCATAAGGAGACTCTTAACCTACCACTCCTTACAATTTCTCGTCTGTTTTAAATAGTTTTAGTATCTTCAGACAATCTTATACCCATGCCTAACTTAAATTTGGTTGTATCATTAATTTCCTTAGGTTTTCATCATTTTATGCAACTGTTTCTCTACATTCTTTATCTTCACTTGGTTTATTTTCTTTAATCTTAAACGGCATCCTTAGTATGCATCAATATAATGCAGGCCGTTCAGAAAGAAAGAGAAGAAAAGCTCGCTAACTCGCTCAAAGGTTTCCTTAACCAATATGTTTTAGGTGACAAAGAGGGATTCTTACAGCATGCTGAATCCGAAGCTAAACGACTTTCTGATGCAGGTCAACTTAAGTTTCATTGGCCTACTTATAATTCCTTTATTTTCTTATTTGATTAATGAAGATATGCATAAATTTTACGTGGTGTTTTTAAGTTCTGCACAAGAAATTTATAAATCACTTCAAATCCTGCATAACTCGCATTATACCGCTTAAAATGAAAGATTTTTCATGCATTTCTTGAAATTCTCTGTTGCATCATTATTTGATTTGATTTTATACACCTGCTTTCTCTGTCTTTCTAAATCCTATCTGGCTCTATGTAGTTAGCTACTAGTTTCTGAGCCAGTAATTATCCATATTATTAAAACCTGAAAGTGTTCAGGGGAACGAATGTGTGATAAGTTTCTGAAACCGACTCTACCAAAACTTTTGTATGCTTTATCAAATGCAACTGACATTGATTCTTGTATTTTGCTCATTTGGCACCCCATTCGTGTTTTTCGCATCACGAATTTATATAATCGTGATTATATCATAGTGTGGAAGTTGTAAGTTCATAGAAAAAATTACTAATGCTTTGTCACGCTTGCAGCCTTCGGAGTTCATATGCTGCACACTATTGGCTACGTATATTCAAGACAAGCGGCACAAGAGCTCGGAAAGAAAACCATATTCCTAGGGGTACCATTCGTGGCTGAGTGGGTTCGTAATAAGGGACATTTCTGGAAGTCACACATGACTGCTGCAAAAGGTTTGCTCATCATTCACTGCCTTTAATACTTTTAATTATTTTTTTTCAACTAATTAAGTTGAATAAAATTGAATCCAGGTGCTTTTCAGTTACTGCAACTTCAGGAAGAAACCCGTCGGCAATTTAAGATGGATGGTAGTGGCCCTGAAAATGATGTTGCATCACATATACGCTTAAACAAAGACACACTTTTGAACTCGTTGTGGAAACTCAATGTGGTGGACATCGAAGTAACGCTCTTGCATGTTTGCCAAATGGTTAGTGGTTTCTTTCAATCAACGGGGTGCTTGTTTCTTTCATCGAGTAAAAGTTTTCGTGGAACTGGTTTTGCTTTTCCATCTCCCACAATGTTTCTTACCCCAGTCAGTTTATTGCCTCTCCCTTCTGAAGTTAATACCATAGCAGGTAAACGGTTTCAATATTTTTGTGACTAGAAGCTAAGAAATCACAGTGTCTTTGGGGATGAGTGCTTTATAATTTGTTGGCAAGAATTATGTTCAAAAGATTAGTGCAGATCCTTCTTATGATTCGAATTGTGATTTCAGGTTTTACGGGAAAATAATGTTAGAAAGGAGGAACTTAAAGCTCGTGCTCTGGCGTTAAAACATCTGGGAAGGATATTTCAGGTCCGCATTACAATTTTTCGCAAAATCCTTATACAAAATTTGGCATGGATGCATTTGATGCAACCATCATTTTGATCGATCATATATTTAAGAGAAATATATGAGTAAAACTTGAGTGCAAAGGTTTTTGATGCATATAATTTCCCTTATATGTTTGTATAGAGATGCTCAAACATCAATTCATTTAACATGTGGAGTACTGTTTAATCAGTACTCGAACTTGGATATTATGTACACACCGATGATCTGCTGAAACTACAGTTTTATTTTTTCTGGTTTAAGGAGGAAAAGCAGACACGAAATGGTGGAACTTCAAGAAGGAAAAGTTCTGTTGATACAGATGATGACGGAAGTAGTTCCGATAGCAGTTCTGAAGAGGATTCACCACGACCGCTATCATATAGAACTCCTTTTCTCACTCAGGCATGTTATAAGATCCTATACACCTAAGGCTATATATCGAAAGCATATATATATGAATCTATATATGTGTTTAAAAACAAATATAACAACATCGACGAACGAAGAAAGAGTCGAAAGAAGGCGTAGCTGATGTTTTCTTTTTCTTTGTTCACTAGCAGGGTATCGGCAGACTCTTCAGATGCCTATGTAATCCAGCATTCGATGTTGACGATGAAGAGATTGTGTACAAAAGCAAGTGATACATAACATCATATGGGAAATGGAGGATTTTATATATTCAATTCAATCAAGAGAATGGCGCAAGCCAGTGTTGTGTGTCAATGTATTTATAATATTGAGGAACAACACCATTTTTCGAAAATATAATCCGAGTACAGTGATATATTGTTAATCCCCAACATTCATATGAATTTTTTTACTTTCGTTTGCTGATTTCTCTCGTAAAATATGGAGAAAATAGATTTGTAATCTTACTAGCTGGTGTTTTAACCCCAACGGGGCCAACACAGCATGACAAAATTACAAGCTGGATAGTATAGGTTTAGTAGAAGAGTCAAAAAAGGAGCTGTAAGCAGTCTATCAAGTTCCCACATCGACCACGGCAGCAACAAGGAGCTGGAGACGGTACTATAAAATAAAGCAGCTTGCGTGTATGATAACTTACGGAGCCATGCGTTGAGCACAAAGCGAACTATTCTTTCGCCTTTTACTAAAGAATACCGTGTGCTCGTCGCTTAAAGTGGCATACGCCTATTTTTGGAGGGGCGCACCTCTGTGGTTGCCCCTAACAATTTCAGTTAGAAAGTTAGCACTGATGTACAGTATTATGTAAGGCGCACCTCTGTGGGTGCCCCTAACAATTTCAGTTAAAAACTTAGGGCTGATGTACAGTATTATGTTTATAATCCAAGCATATAATGTTTATTATGTTTTAAAAGATGCTAATTGGGTCAGTGTTAAATTTATTATGTTTATACTTAAAATATATATAATTTTATTATAAGTTATAAAATAGAATGACATATATATTATGAAGTATTGGAACATAATGAAAACATGGAAAACAAGCATATAATGTGCTCATTTAAGTATTTGACAAATCTCTTACAATTTATTAAAAAAAATAAAATACAAAATGAAAGTTTTTCTATTTTCTGCTTAAGTGAGTCAATGCTTAGGCGGATCTGGACAGGTGCCAACGCGGTCTAGGTAGGCATCTTAGTAGGTCCATTGGCCCTTTCTTAATTTTTAAACGCCTAGGCATTAATTGGGACGGTAACCAACCGTCCAGGTGGGGATTTTTAGAATAGTGATATAACCATTATCATGTAGAAAATTGCTTTTAAATTTTCTCTCGTTTTCGAAAGAATAGTAGGACGAAATGAATGTTTGAAAATGATTTGCGGGCATTAAAAAATGCTGCATAATTCAATGTCTAAAAGCTGATAACATAAGTCAAGATAAAGTCCGTACGTTACAACAAATGGTTGCTTCCCATTTGCGACCAATATCTTACATCTCAATACAAACATATGTACTGTAGTCAAGGGACCTCGGCCCTTGCAACACTTTTCAGTGTTACCATCATTCTCGTTCATCGGTTCAATGAGCTGAATGAGGAAAGGCGTTGGCGGTGCGGTGAGCTTGGACAGCACAGGCACAATGCACTGACGTCAAATTCATACAGCCGCTAAAGTTGAGGGAATGCCTTCCAGAGCAGGTGTGAAGGGCAGGGAATGAATCGCACACAGCCTGAACAGCAGAAGGGGTGAGCGCTGTGCATTGGCTGATGTTGAGAGTCCTAAGCCCTTCCTCGTCATTCCTGGTTTTCCGGGATTCCCACATTGCCGCAGGCTTGTTCTTCACTAGACTCTGGGCCAAGGAATACATTGCTCTGTCTGTAATGTTCTTACAGTAGTAAAGGCCAAGCGATTGCAAATGAGGACACCTATTTGCCAAAGCAATCACACTGTCATCTGCAGTCAATGAAAAACGGAATCAGACGTGATCACCATCAACAAAACCAGGAAAACTACAAATTTTCAGTGTTCAATTTCTGATCATTCAATTATTCAGGCTCCCTTTTCGGTTGAGATAATATTTTCGGGTCAACCTGTTCATGTCCTAAAAATTTCCCCCAAAACATTAGGGATTGCACTGAGACATCATGAGGTGACGCTACCATGAGGTTAACGATGGACTGTGATAACCAACTCTGAAGCAGCACAGTCAAGGCCATGCAACTTTTCATTATAGCGCCATATACTCCTTTGCAATGCGGACATCAACGCATGCATTTGGAAATATAACATTTATGAAATATGACCACTAAAACCAACTGTAACAGGCAGCAAGTACTGTAACCCAAATACCTGATATTTGGACACAGCCACACAAATCAACAGTTCTGAGTTCAGGGCATCCGTATGCCAAACTCATAACTCCAACATCACGTACATCCTCACACCAACCAAGATTCAGAGACTGCAACTGACTACAGTAACGCCCAATAGCCTGCACACGATCTTAATAGTATTAACAGAGCTATCTCAGTTAATACACACAAAAATAAATAAAATCAATATCTGATCTTTACTTTACCTGCAATGCCCTGTCTGATGCAGTCCTGACGCAACCTACAAAGATTCAAGACTTCCAATTTTCGGCAAAAGCCAGCAAGATATTCAAGAGCAATGTCACTGAATGCCGAGCACCCACTAATGTTTAGTTTTGTAAGATTTGGGCACCCATGTGCTAAGGCATACAGGGATCGGTCACTGAGCTTGAAGCTTTTGCTGAGGTCCAGGACCTGCAGGTCATGACAGAAGTTTGCAATGCTCTCAACAGCACTATCCTCAAGCTGGGGTTTATGATCTTGACGCAGTATTAGAGTCTGCAATCTCGTAAACTTAGGAGCTAGAGATAGGACCAAGCTATTCATGTTCTTGGTGCACCTGAAAACATAGTTAACAAATTAAGTTGGCATTTAGAAAATCTTAAACGGACGAGCTTAAATCAGTTCACAAAGTTCATACAAACATTCACATCACTCATCTCCTTTCTGTAAACAGAGGAGGATTGGCATCTAGGGAAATTAAGTTCTCCACGCCCCGAAAGTATATTCTTAGGCTTTTGATAATTCTAAAATGCTAACATGATTTTTAGTTCCTTTCTGAACTGTGTTTGATTCCGCATCCTTTAAGTGGTGTTGTGCTTCCTTCCATACAAGGAATTGAGCTCTAACGTAAGTGAATGCATCTAGAGTCTAGACCTAGCAAGCTTACCAATTACTGCCATGTCAGTTGAGAATCAACAACATACTTACATATTCTCCCGCTTTGTGTTGGGTTGGTAAGTTTAAGGGAGAGGGAAGGAGAAAAACGAAAATAAAATAGACGCATGATGACCAGCAACTCTCTTTTCCGAACAACCTAAAACAAATTAATACATTAACCTGGATTCAAAATACCTTGTGAGTTCTCAAAGAACTTGTATGTTCAATCATACAAAAATCCAGCTAGATATTAAACAGAATGTATAAACATAAGCATCTATTTCTTCAAACTAAATCTACTCGCACGAGAGATTTATGATAGAATTCATCTATATAGACATCACTAATATGAACAGAGCCTTAAATACGGAAACTTAGTTAATAGAATTTCACCAACTCCAATAAGTTAATTAATCGTAGTCTGTACAACTAGACAGCATGGGTAAGCAATACAATCAGTCTGATCCTGGTCAGGCCTAATGACAGAATCATTTTTTGCATAACCAAAAACAAAAAAAACAAACGCAAAAGAAAAACCAAAAACAATTATTCAGATGACTTTAAATTCATAAAAATAACCGAAGGAATTATATTGTGTTCCAAAGAGCAACAACACCATCAAAAGGGATAACACAAGAACAAATAATTGCATAGCAAGGCGGATAGCGCAATATTTTTCCAAATACCTGATAATTTTGCAAGTTACTAGAACCGAGGGAGTTATTTTCAACAAGTAACACAAGCACAAGAAAAATTGAATTTTCGAAGGTCATATGCCAATAGGTGATGTCAATATATTTGTTCCTTTCTTTGAAAAATCAAAAACACAATATAGAGAAGGCAAAACATATACCATGAGAGGGAGAGGCGAGTAAGGCCCAAGCAAACAGCATCTCTCCAGCCACGGCAGACTCCAGACGCCAGGATCACCGTCTGATCATCCGTAAGCGCCAGGATTTGCATAAGCAGCTCTATCGGAATATCCTTCCAATCAGTGATCATCACCCTTCCTTCCATCTTCATTTTCCCACCACTACACCCACTACCACCAACAGAAGCACTTCCACTTGCACTTGCAAACATCATAAGCTTCTCAAAGCACAAGGTCAAGTCCTCAGCCTTGATGCTTCCTTTTCCCACCATTTCCTAAAACTCTGACCCCAAAAATCCTACCACCACCGCCTTCACAAACCAGCAGAAAAAGTTCCTCCTTTCTGCCACGACCTCAATCAAGAGAGAGAAACAAGGATAAGCATTTACAATTTGCAACACACCTTAAATATTTACAGAAAACCAAAAATGAAAACGGAAGCGGTAAAACGACAAGGAACATGAGTACAACCACAAACCCATTTGTCAACACCTTAAGAAACTTGCAGAGACATAGCAGAATTAGATATATAGTAAAGTAATCCCAATCCAGACTAAACTAAACCCATCACTTTCTAAACGAAAATCAACCCATTAAGTTTTTTTTAGAGAAAAATGAAAACTTCCAAATAAATTATAATATTATCTTCCACCTTGTGATCAGCCTTTGCAAGTTACACCTGAGTTGCAAACAAAAGAAGGAAAATTTTCAACAATCAAAGAGATCCCTTCAAGTTTTTGTTTTCTAAATTTTGAAAGAAACCCCATTTGAGAAACAATCAAAGCTCAAATTAAAATTAAGAAAGGAACAATTTTGACACTGATGAGGAAATGAAGAAGTGAAGATTAAATTTTGGACTCAAAACATGAAAGGTGTAGCTTTGACAGAAATTGAAAACTTTAGCTCTGAAAAATGACACCAATTTGCTGCAAAATTTACAAAAGAAAAAGGAAAGCTGAAAAGTTAAACCGATCAATACCAGGAACAAATATGTGTAAGAAAACAGAGCAGCTAACAAGAATTACATGAAGAAATGGGACAAGATTAATGTTTTGAGAAAGTACCTGAACTGTACAAGGTTGTTGCTGATGATCAAAGTTGCGTGCGGCTTTGTTTTGGTTGTCCTGGTCTCTCCGATGGTTTTCGTGAAGTACAGAAATGAAATACATAAAGAAAGACAGAACTTTTAATATAGTTTTTTTTACTTTTAAATGGTAAGAGAGAGAGAGTAATCCGTAATCAGAGAGAGAGAGAGAGAGAGAGGGAGGGAGGGAGAAGCGTCTAGGCTGAAAATAGGCGACGTGGCACTGCAAAGAGTGTTGATGGTGATATAATTGTGACACCCAAAATCTGCGGTCTTGATTTGTTTGATTTTATCAGAATCCATTGGCGCAGGGACAAGGATTTACATACCAACGTTTGTTATGTGATGAAAGGTTTATATGTTATGCGTATAAAGTAAATATTAATAGATAATAAATATTCGTTTTTATAGTTTAATTGTAGAGAAATCCTCAAGAGACTATCTAAGTGAGATTTTCTATCATTTTACAAATTAACATTAATTTTTATGTTAATATTATAAAACATTAAATCAACAATATGATATGATAAGGAGTTCATGGTGAGTCATATTTTTAAAAGAGTCTCCTTATCATTTCTTAAGTAATAAAAAATTATGTCATAGTAATGTTAGAGAGACCAAATTTCAAAATCAAAATTTGTAAATCAAATGATGTGGATATTGATAATTAGATTATTACATAAGTGTTAATTAACAAACTTATTTTCTATTGATGATACATCATTTGGTTTGTAAATTTAATTTTAAAATTTGGTCTAGCAATACCCTTAGCACATACAAAAAAATGTATCCAGGAGGAAGAGATGATGATGGTGACCCATCGAGAACATATTTGACAAGGAAATTCGAAACGGGAAAATTTTGTACCGAAAATAAAAGAAAGAGGATTGGTGCAACGATTCTTTCTTCTTCAGAAGAATGTTGGTGTCTCGCACATGAATTTTGATAAATAGCTAATTTTGTCTAATCCATCTCTACAAATTAAAAATAAAAGAAAGAAAGAAAAAGAAAAGTGAGAAAAGAAAGAAAAAAATGAACATGAGAAAAATGCATTGGAGTTTTTTACGGTGCAATGGGAAAGGGGTCGAGTGTAAGTGTGGGACCAGAAGGTTCCAATTGTTTAGAACCAAAGCCGCAGCTAAAAGCGATCCCACGCACCCCTCAAATTGTTGATGGTACCTTCTTTAGGATATAGATCCTCACCGGATGGGAATCAAATACATAGTAATCATTGACCAAATATGGTGACTACTGTCATAATTTTTTTAATATATTTCTCATGCAAAGCGAGGATGATTTATTTTAAAAATATAAAAAAGATTCAATTGTAGCTGCACGATTTTTGATGAACAATTACTATGTATTGATCTTCAAGATCTCTAGTGAGGAAATCCAGAAAGGATCTAAATCCCCTTCTTTATACAATGAGTCTCCTTTGCTACACCATTTTTCTACGTTATACACTCACTTTATTCTTTGTCAATTAAATAATTAAACAAAAATTAATGAATAAGATTACGCAAAAATGTATCGAACAAAAAACTATTGTATGATCATCTTTTGTAAGTTGCAGTTTTTATTCTCGATATTAATGTTATGTTTTGGATTATATTTCTTTAGTCATCATTGTACTATCTTATGGTGTTTTTAATAAAAGGATCTAATATTCCAACAAAAAAAAAGCATTTTTGTTGATAGAAAGCTCTGTCCAAAGTCTAATGGAGAGAAAAAACAAAGAAGTTAAAAAAAGTTGATGGAGGCAATTGAACGCGTTGCCATTGTGTGGCTTGTTACTACTAAAAAATAAAAGACTTTTTGTAACATCCCACATCGTTCAGGGGAGTGAATCATGTAAGCCTTATATGTATATTTCCATCTTTACCTAGCATGAGGTCTTTTGGGAGCTCACTGGTTTCGGTTCGTAACTCTATAAAACTTTAACCGTAATTCCGAATTCACTTCTGCTTGCGCTTACGCGTTCGTATCGTTGAGTACTTCAAGAATACACTAAAAGAATATTTAGTACGTCTCATTACACATTGGTCAATGAAAGTCAAAACCTTCACCTCTAGGGCATTTTCGTAAATTCACACTTTTAAAATTAAGAAAATTTTAAAGGTAGGGATGGGTTGTCACAATCTACCCACCTTAAAAAAATTTCATCCCCGAAATTTAAAATAACTTGTTAAATGTAACATACTCGAAACTAGGGAGAAATATGTATGTAAATACATACGCAAGAAGGAAATCTAGTTATAACAACTGCATAAAAGAATATTTAGTACGTCTCATTACACATTGGTCAATGAAAGTCAAAACCTTCACCTCTAGGGCATTTTCGTAAATTCACACTTTTAAAATTAAGAAAATTTTAAAGGTAGGGATGGGTTGTCACAATCTACCCACCTTAAAAAAATTTCATCCCCGAAATTTAAAATAACTTGTTAAATGTAACATACTCGAAACTAGGGAGAAATATGTATGTAAATACATACGCAAGAAGGAAATCTAGTTATAACAACTGCATAAAAATGTCATTCCGCCGCGATTCAGAGTTTCAAGCCTTCAATTCATACTCTCCTTCTCCTTTAGTACAATACTAAAATATACAGTCCTTTATAAACATAAAGTAGAACAATAGATGTATAACAACACAATGTCGAAGTATGTATATAATAAAGTGAAGTAATTCTCACATCCCTGCCCGGGCCCTCACCATATCCCGGACCCGACTCCGCCGTAACACGATATTGTTCGCTTTGGGCCCCGACCACGCCCTTACGGTTTTATTTCTGAAAACTCACACGAGAACTTCCCAGTGGGTCACCCATCATGGGAATGCTCTCGCGCACTACTCGCTTAACTTCGAAATTCTCATGGAACCCAAAGCTAGTGAGCTCTGAAAAAGCCTCGTACTAAGTAAAGATGAGAATATACATATAGAATCCACTTTCCTAAACGATGTGGAATGTTACACTTTTAATTACATTTAGACTCCTTTAAACTGAACTCAAGTCTCACTTAACTCTCTAAATTAAAAAATTTCCATTTAACTCTTGAAACTGAACTTATGTCTCACTTTGCCTCGTGCTATCAAAATTGTCTATTAAATCCTTCAAAATTGTTTCCGTTGCACAGATGAGATGAGACCCATTGTTGCTTTGATGTGTGCCACCTAAGTATCTTGTGGCTGAAAAATTAAAAAACCCTATTTTATAATTAAAAAAAAAATTCTTTCGAAAATAAGAAAAATAAAACTCAATTTTTTTTAAGATGTACATGCCACACGTCTCTGAAATAGTAGGTTCTATTTGTGCTTGGTTAAAGGTTTAATGAATTTGTTAATGAACTCCTGACAATAAATGCTAAGTGAGAGACGAATTGAGTTTCGGAGTTTGTGAGTATGCTTTCAAAAACTAGTTGTAACTATGAGTTTCAAGGCATTTTGCCATAAATAAAATAAATAAATAAATCTGCTATGATCCCCAAAGTGAAGTTAAAATGTAAATTATTATTTTCGTGGGTATGTAATGGAGGAGGAGTGTCCCATCTCTTTTATAATAATTTTGGAAAAAAAGTTTGAACCAAAAAATTGGTTATAGCCTAGGCTTATTGGGCATATTAGCTAGCCTTTCTTTTTCTGGTCAAAATCATCTTCATCTTAAAACAATAATTAATTGTGGCTGATATTCGTGACCGGATGATAGGGAGATCAATTTTTAAATTAAATTGTGTAAATCAAATAATATGATTGTTGATGATTATAGTATTACTTAATGTTGATTGATTTGTTTATGTTTTATTGGTGACATATTATTTAATTTGTAAATTTGGTTTAAAAATTTAGTCTTCCTAACATTATCCTTCATGATCATACAATAAAATGAAAACTTGTTTCTATATTTATGTTGGGGAATGTTAAGGAGACTCTTTCAAAAGTTGGACTCTTCATGAACTCTCTGTCATCTTATATTTTTGGCACAATTTCCGTGCCAACATTATAAAATATATTGTAAAAAACATGAGATATCAGAGAGTCTATAAATAGCTCTAAATTGATCAAATTGAGAGAATCCCATAGCATTTCTCATTTATGTTTGGAGTTGTTTTTTTGGTTCTCAAGGCACCCTAACAAACGAAAACGTAACCATTAATTAGAACCAATTTTTCTAATACAACAAATGAAATCACGTTTTCAAGTTTAAGAAGAAAAAAAAGAGAGAAGACTTTGTTATCTAGTCCACTTGCATGCAGAGAAATGCAAACGAGATTCTCTCAAAGTTGAATGGACTCTCTGCCACCTCATTTTTTTAATATAATATTTTATAATATTAGCACGAGAATTGTGCAAAACATGAGTTGTCAGAGACTCTTTCAAAAGATGCTAAGTCGACTAAATTTGCAAACTAAATTATGTGTCACCAAGAAAAAAAAAGTACATTAATCAATACCTAAATAATAATCTAAAGGTAATGCTAAGAAGACTAAATTTGTCATTTAATTTACAAAATTAGTCTTAACCTCCCTAGCATTATCGCATGCATTATGCTGCTGCCTTATAGATTGTCACTAAGACGAAATCTCTACCTTTTTCAATTGTTCTTTAATTATTTACATTCTTTGAGCATTTTGCCAATTTTTTTCTTTAAATTTGTATTTCAATTCCCATTTTTTCTTTGAACATTTTATATTGATAAAATTCCTCCTAAATTATTATTAATGGGCAATTGTCCACCTAAAATCATGTTTAACAATATTTCACCTACTTTTTGTTAAAATGTCCAATTTCAAGAAATGAAATATTAACTTACAAATAACGAAACACACTTAATGACAAAAATGTGACATTTTTGCATGGAATATTAGATAACGGTAAGCAATACAGTAACGGAAAATGACGATTGATATAGTTGATAGAGAAAATTGGCAACAGGAGAAAAATCAGTAGCAGACAGCAAATTGATGGGATAAATAGGCAAACTTCTTGTCATTTTGCAGTCGGCAGAAACCAAAGGCAACTTCTAACTTGGGAGGTCAGATCGTATTACTAGCTAGCTAGTTTATTTGTTTTGGATTTAACTTCACTGTTGAAGAATTCAAGTTTTGATTAAAAAAATCAAAACTTGAATACAAGTCTAATCGGAATTGGATGTAAGTAGCAGCTGCTGTTGAATTTGTAGCAGCCAAGTCCAGTTCATTTGTTTTTGCTTTAGATGAGACTATATAGCATATAACGTGAAAAATAGGGAAGCAAAGCACGTGATATACATTGACTTCGCTTCTCTCAAAATATAAAAAATAATGTGAGCCATAGTGTCTATTTTTCAGTTAAGAGCGCAACCATTAGAAATTGGTAACTACTGATGTTAATATTGTGGCTGATAAGAGAGGCCTTCATCCCTTAATGGCAATTTAGGTAGCTAATTAAACACCTTAAATTATTTAGGTGGATCATTACCAATCCAGTTTTTCATTCGAAGCATTTCTTTTTTATCTTTAAAGGAAATTCGTAGTTTAAACTACATAATTCGTTTAATTGTTTTTCTGATATAGATTTCATTATATAATTAGATCTAAGTAATGTGGCTTTCCCACACATTAGATGTTGGGGCCCAAGTCGTTTTTAGCCTTGAGGGCACGTTTGGTTACTGGAATTGCATAGGATTATGAGTAGGGATCGGGTTGCAATAGATTGCTTAAGTATATGAATTGATCATGATGTTTGTATGGTCAAAGAATATAATGTTAGCGGGAAATAAGGACTTCGTTCCTTCTTGAAAACGAGGGATGTATTATCCTTCTAGTTATTGACAAATCTCAAGCAATAGAGATGTTAGTTTTAACTAAGAACTCACCGTGTAGAAAGGAAGTTCTTTTAACTTAAGCCACCTACACCAAGGCATGTAGGCAGCTCGAGCCGGGAAGGAAAAATTTAACCCTTGTAGCTGGAGATGGAAAAATTAAGTATTCTTTAAAATAATAATTGTTTGAATGGTTACTTTTATTCCTCCTTGACCGGACGGTTGGACGTGGAATTGTTGTATTTGACAGACAAATCCTACCAAAGTCCGATGCGAGATTGGTGTAGACGCGACAAAACGACGTCGATCGATGCTTGATCGTTAGGTCTCACACTTTAACAAATTAAATCACAGATAATTCCTTTTTCTGGACAAAAAAGTGAAAGCATTCTTATCTCCTTTCACTTCAGCTTTCAGAAATGCATGAGTGGTGCTTCTAGTGGATGTCAGAAATCAAAATTTTGGTCATTATTTTTGGTGGGTGCATATTGCGTGCGTATCTTTTGGTATGTTCTTTTGCCCTTGTCTAGTTTTCATCGACATTTTATATCATATCTTTGTGTTTGTGTCTTCTTCCATATGCCTTATAGGGGGAACGCATTTTATTTACTATCTTGTGCATGAATCCTGCACACCTTCTCGTCTTGATACATTCTATTATCATCTTCTTTACACATGAAAAAGTTTGCATGATTGACTCCATGAAAATTATATATATATTTTTTATTTTAAAAATAGATAATCACATGCATTTTTCTCTCTTCATACATGCATACTCTTTTATTTTTTTGCCATCGAATTGAATAAATTAAATTGAAGCAATGAACATACTTAAGCAAGTACGTATAAAATAAAAAATAAAGAGAAATTAAAGAAATGATCTCTGAATTTTAAATCAATTGGAACATTGATCCCTGACTAAATACCCGTGGTCATTGGTACTTGAAGGAGTGGTGAGTTTTTGGAGAGATAAGTTAACGAAGTGAAAATCTTGAAGGGGGTTTTTGAAAATCTGAAAATCTTTGAAATCAAGCTCATGTTGCTCCACTGTAGTCTGCAACTGGTTTGGAAGGAATATTTAACATAGTTAATGAAAATGACTAATATTTCATATTTTTGATAAATTTAAAGACCAATGATTACGAATGTTTAGTTCAAAATCAAAGTTTCAATTGAATTAAAATTCAGAAACTATTGCTCTAATATTCTCAAAAATAAAATACCATGTATTTATTATCTACTTTCACCTTTTATCAAATTTTTGTGACAATTATTGAGTAGAGTTCTATAGTATATACCCTTATAATAACTAGTTGCGTAGGGGGTTGTCTTTTCTTTGATTTATCTCTTTATGCATGATTTGGTCTTTTTAATGTTACATTTATAATTTGGTTTGCGTGTGAGAATTAGATTAGTTTTTTTGTACTCTTTGACAGGAATAAATAAGTCACCATCTTTCGGTTTTAATGCGTAAAATAATAAAATTCAATGAGCAGCGAAGGATTATTTAGTCAATCGTGCACCACTTTATGTATTTTGGGTAACATTTTGTTTATTTTAATTTTCTTTTCTTATGTGTTTTCTTAAGGGGATGTTTGCTATCAACTCGAGGCCAGCTAGAGCCGTGCATGAACTAGGATTCTTTCCACTTTTCTTTCCATCATCTTTCATTCTTTCTTCTCACATTCTCTTATTTTATCTTTTCTCTTGCTATAAAAAAAATTAGTATAACATATTGACATGATTTAATCATGACCGTTCAAATAAAAAGAGAATGAAAAAAAAAGAAGGGAGAGAATTCTACTCCACCGTGCATGGCTGCTTGCATTGCAAACCTCAGAGTTGAGTGCATAGGCTGAATTCCATCTAATAAAATAAATAAAGAATAATTTCCGTTGCAAGCAACTAAAACCTTCCTTTGTCATCTATCCCGACCCCCTGGCATCTATTCACATTCAGGGGATTGCTTGCGACTTTCTCGTGGTGTCCTTTCGTCACATTTACGGTGGAGTCAATTTTGTTACTGATGCTTTAATCGGGATTTGTCATTCGTCTTTTGACCAATGCACATGGTGTCATTGAATCACCATTGAGGCTCGTTGTATTCAATTTTGGGATTTCTGTAACCTTTCTTGCCTAAGAGGCTTCTCTATGTAATTTGATGCAAGGTGCAGCGTGGTGGAAAATATGTATGAATAGATAGTACAGATAAGTAAGATCTACTATCTTTAAGTGCAAAGAGAGACCTGAAATCTCAAATTTACTTCTAGTACCAGCCTATGATGTAGACAACTAAAAGAACAAAGCAACAAACTCTTAAACAAGAGCATGACACTTAAAAAAACGAGTTTATGATCAAATTCCAATATGATAATTCAAACAACTTTTACCTTTTTTTGCATTACAAATACATGTATTTATAGGCTTACAACTTAAAGTCAGAAATATGAAAAGACAAGGAAGTTAAGGCTTACAATATGACTCCTAAAAAACTAGCTAAAATTTTCAAAAACGTTATTAAGCTAGAAATCTCATCAACCACACATTAAAGCAGAATACATGCTTTATATCTCTAAGAATGCATGTTTTTTAATTTAACACTTAAATCCTAGATGACACCAATTTCATAATAATGCCTCTGTAATTTTTCTTTTCTATAAAAATTCTAAAATCTTCCTTTCTTGACTGATTACTTTCAACGTATTTAAGTATAAGCTCATTAATCATATTCTTAGGTCAAATCAAGTCTCCACAATTTTAGCCACAGTTTACTAACTATTTTGTTTTTAGTTCTTAACTTTTATAAAAAAAATTTAAAAAAAAAAAAAAATTCACACGTTCTTGCTTTTCGCAAGGTTTGGTTGTGCACTACGTCTGTTGGGGTCCTCATACGATTCGATCTAGCCGGATTTAGCTGGATCAATCGTAGATATCCTCTTCTTAACCCTTGATTCGATGTCGCTTGTTGGATTTTCTTGTACATGTACAATTGTATAAACTGTGTAGATAACTTCATGATCTTCCAACCGAGTTTTGAAGAAAAGTAGTGAAAACCAAAGGTTCTAAAAAATGCTAAAAGCTAGTTAAGGGTGGGCTAGGGTCTAGCGCTTAGGAGGCTAAGTGAGGTCCAGCGCCTAAGCAGTTAGGTGGGGGCCTAGGCGAACTAGACGAATTTAAGTAACTTTATTGTATATCATATAAATAAGTGTCTGCTTGTACTTCAAAAAATACATAATTATGTTGGAATATATAAATTGCAAAATAAAATGACATATAGAATATAAAGTATTAGAACATATTGATAACATGGGGAACAAACATATAATGAGTGTTTATTCAAGTATTCAACAAGTCTCTTCATTTTATTGAAAAAAATTAATGCATAATGAAAGTGATTAATTTTATGTCTAAGTGAGATTCCTAGTGTCCAGGTAGTTTTAGGCAGGTCTAGGCAAGTTTAGGCGGTTTAGACAGACACCTAAGCAGGTCTAGATGCCATTTCTTAATTTTCTAAAACTTAGGGATTAATCGAGGCGGTAGCCAATTGCCTAGCGCCTTAGCGGCGCCTAGGAGGTGCTGAATAGGGATTTTAGAAAAGTGGTGAAAGTAGAAACTAAAAACGAAATGGTTATCAAAAGTTCCCACAAAGACTAGGGTTAATAAGCATCAAATAATTGATAAAATCAATAATAAGGGTCTTTTTTATTTCACACTTCAGCAAGATGCACGTATACATTGTCTTACATTCTATTCTGATACATAATACTAATTCAATGACATATCAATTAGATATAGAATGAACAAAATTTTCTTATTTTAGGTCTAAAGTTTTATCTAAACGAGTCAAATTTGCGAAGTCTATAATGGAAGAGTTGGATTGACATATCAAAGCGGCATATGGAAGTATAATCATAAGACTGATCAAGAAAAGGATCAAATGTCAAAACGAAGTAAAAAGAAAGTGTTGCGCAAAGTCCATAAGTTACAAGGTTGCAAGCATACATTTTATAGAGTGTGTACAAAAGCAGAAACTCTGTCCAGATAACTTCCTGAACAGATTTATTCTTCTGTACATTTTCAATGTACCTCACAGTCATATGGACCTCTTGTCAAGCCAAGAATCTCTCTAACAAGTTCCCAAAGAAGAAGCTTGTCTTAGGCCATCCCTTAGTCTCAGGTGCCTCAGCAGAATTTGTTGGGACTTTCTTCACATTGAACATCATTGTATGCCCGATTTCTTTACGAAGTGCTTCTATTGTTTTTATGTCCACGGGATTCTCTGAAGAATCTCTAACATAAAAGATATTCATTGCTTGCTCCCCAATTGTTGTGACGCCGGCCCTTGTAACTGACAATCCATTCTCCCTCAGAATTCTTGTTACTTCAGATAGCAAGCCTACTCTATCCTTTGCACACAGCTCTAGCCTTAGACCCTGAATTTCATGGCAATTTAATCGTCTAAATGGATCAAGAACTCACGTCCTCGTTGTTTCCAACATAAAGTAAAGTTTACAAATACCGGTTCATATGAATTGGATGCAGTGGATTATGAAGATATGTTAATGCTTTCAATTTTAAATCAGAAAATGCTCTCTTCTGTTGCAAGCACTTGCCCGGTTTAATGGATGAATTTATAAATTATGTAACAGCTTTTCCATGCACTATACTTTTTCTTTGAGAATTTCATCAGGGATTCATTCAAATAAAAAGAAATTTCATTCGGATATTGCGTGTTTAATTGGAGGAAACAATTTAGTTCAGAGGAATTTATGTGCTTGATCTCCTGTATAATATTGCAGGAATACATATACAAGTTAAATGCATATCTACCTTTTATGCTGTGTAGCTGCAAGTCCAGGATTAGCTAAAAAAAATATGTTCTTAAGTTCAAATGTGCATTAACTCGAAGCAAAAGCATTAAACGAGTGTTAAATACTGGATAGACTTTTCACTAACCTCGCTTACTCTTCTCCGAATTGCAGCGTCAATACATTTGATGACCCTTTCCTTCTCTCCTTCAGTATCGAGGGTGCAACCATCCATGTGACGAATAAAATACTCCTGCAGTTAACTATATGCATCAGTTAAGGTGCTTTAATCATTATTCTCAAGCAGTTTCAATATATGGTGAAGTCAACAAGATGATGCATTCCGTTTATTGGAAGACAAAATCAGTACTCTTCAAACCGCCAAAAAAAATAATAATAATAATAATTAGAGACTTAGCATAAGAATTCAGTCAAGAAATTAATGATTATGGAATTTTGAAGCCCTTGGAATGTATACAACAATAAAAATAATATCGTCTTATCTCACTAAGGCCGGCTACATGAATTCTTGAATGCCACTGCACTCGGTTTTGCGCTAAATCTTTCGTTAGACATAAGTATTCCATGTCTTTTTTTACGGTCTCTTTCCAAATCTTCCTAGGTCTTCCTTTACCCCTTTTGCGTTGATTCTCATAATGTATAAAAGAATATTTTCTTTTCATACGCCATAGAATGAATTTCAGGAAAACAGAAAAGCAACCACCTAAAATTGATCTGTTGGAGAAACTTAGTTTCAAGAACTTGAAAATCGGTAAACAGATAAGCATGACATTGAATGTACCTGTGATGCGTATGGGCCATCAGATGAAATGGTGGCATGGAAAACAACGTATTGCATATCTGTGAGTGTGCATACGATGTCAAACATGAGCTTTGCACGGTCTTTGCACCGCACACTAACCACCGAGTACCCCTTTTCTTCACAACGCTCAATGGTGATCTTTGGTTGGAAGCAGGGAGGAAAGTGATCAACTTCATTTGCCAGTCCACCGCCCTCATAATCCCTATCAGCAAACAACATCTGGTGGAGCCGCCTATCAACATGCGTGAATCCCATAGAGAAGCTAGTGTGACCAACTTTCTCATCATCCTCACACACGCGTAGGATGTTCTTGAGCTGCTCCTCCATAGTAGATAATCTGGTTTTATCCTCCACAGGTTGGCATGCAGTATTATCATTGACATACACAACGCAAGCTATTCGTCTATTGTGTGTCCATACTTCGGCAGCGATTACATTAAAGTGAAGGTTGGCAAGGACAGCAGAGATCTCAGATAAGAGACCTGGTCGGTCTTTGCCAATAAGCTCAATGGCTGTATGGTCCCCGACAGAGTGCACTCCAACCCGTTTTCCTGGCCAAGCATTCAGCACGTCTGTGATATGGCCCTTTGGTCCCAAAGCCTATGCATGCCACAAATCATAGACAACATCGCTCTTAATATCATTGCGTGAAAGAAATGCTTTATAAAAACCAAAAGAAAAAAGCGGAAACCCCTTATGCAAGGTGCTATTCGGACAATTCAGGAGCCTGCATTTTCTGGTAAAGCAAAATTTGGAATGGAGAGAATCTTGATGCAGATGATGATCGCATAAACACAAGAAAGCATGTGGCATTAAGAAAGCACCAAGGAGCTTACCTTCTCTATGTAGTCAATGGTTTTGCTGTCTGTAACTTTTTTTCCTTGCTGATCCGTGACGTGAAATACTGTTTATTAAGGAACACAAATGTCAAATTCATTAGTATACACGCGCGTGCACATAATGAATTGTTGCGGACTCCCGGTGGATAATCGTGTTGGAATATTTATCCTATTACCGCATATAGTGCTTATGGACCTATGGTCTCCAAGTCACTTGTGAATTGCTTGGAAATCCAGTTGGGGTTTGAAATATTAACTTAGCATATCTTGTGCCCATTAAGTTTTAGTGAATTTGAGTAATATGGGCAAAAGGGGTTTCCTATCATATTATGGATTTAATTAATAAAGTATAGATGCATAAGGATTCCTAATGGGCTTATGATGCGCATACACGGTTATGGTTTTGTATTCTATACAAATAAGGGTCCTTATTGGTGTTATGTTACACCTAATACTCCCTACTCGGTATTGTAACCTAATGTGTAGAAACGAATAGACAAACACTTGTTAGCACGTGTGGAGGGATTCAACAACAAACAACAAGAACAAGAAGTCTTTGGAACTCAGCGATTCAGGTTAATACTCTAGCGTGTTTTAATTATATGAACACTTCAGGTTAACAAATCAAATGTTTATGCGTTAACGAGTTTAAATCAAGAACTGTCGATTCAACAAGGCAATTTTTTTTCCGCAGAGGACCAACAAATAAATAAGTAAATATTTACCAGTTCAAAAGAGGATTTGGAGCCAAGACGACTAAGTATCACAGAAAAATCAGGCAGAAAATATGCATACCATCCATGAACCATCCACCATCTGAGGAGATATAGGCCTTGGTGATTATGAGGTCAAGGTCTGTCAAGATTTGCACGACTTCAAGCAGAATTCCCGGTTTGTTGACACTATCAACCTACACATGCATTTCATACCCGCCACACCAATTTCAACATGATGGCTGGATTAATATATGTTTACTGAGTGTAATTTAAAAAGGAAGCAAATTAAATCCCGTCTTTGGTTGGTTTTCCTGGAGTTTGGAAGACTTCCATTCAGAGTTAAATTAACCTATGAATTTCATACATGACTGCGGGAATCTGGTGTCGGCAGAAAGCGTAATTCTAACGATTAAAAGGAAAAATCACCTTGACTAGAGTACAGTCACTGCAGCTAGAGTTGTCTACGGAGACCCTGCAAACAAATCGTACAGCGACATAAAATAATTAGAAGACAATATATATGGAACTGTTATTATTATTCCAACATATTCACGCACATTCTAAAAAATAACAATCTCGCTGAATGAAACGGTGAAACCTGAATAGAATTTTGATTAAATAGTTCATACGCACACAGAGAGAATACCTTGGGGGATTGATTCTTGTGCTCAGGTTCTCATATTCAGGATCAAAGTATGGCGAACAAACTCTAGCCATTTAAGTCACCACTTCTTCAATCAACCTCAAATTCTTTCCTGTGACATAGAATAGCTCAGACTACCTTGTTAACGAATTATAACTTGGTTAATAAACAATTTTATATTTGTACATTCTATTGAACTCAACTCTGACACTATGCACGCACCAAAAAGAGTAAAGGGTAATTGTCCTCCGGCACCGCAAAAATTACATCTTAATAAGGACATAAATTTTTTTAAATATACACGGAGTGACAAAGGTTAATAAAAGAGATGAGATTAGCACAACACGATATGGGATTATGATACAACTATCTTGACCTACGTCAAAGCATACAATGAACCGAATTTTTCTAGAGAAGGAAACAGTTCATCTGTTGATTTTGACCTTGCCATTTAAGGAAGGCTTTACTGCTATACCATAAAGGCCTAGATTTCTCTCCTTTTTTGTATAAAAATTTGTATTTTCAGGAAGCTGTGCATGTTAACAAATTAGGCATACATGAATCGAAATTTTGTATGAAAACAAACATTGTCCCTTCATAAATTTCATCCACTAAGACTACAGGAAAACAAGCATGACTGTGCATATTAAAAGTGCAGTGGTGTTAACATTTCTTCTGATGCTAACATGTACATGTTACGCCGATATCATCAATCCCAAAACTCATGTCACAATCATTAACTATTTGCGTAATGGTCGCGACCTTACTGTTCACTGTAAGTCCGCGGATGATGATGTTGGTGTTCATGTGATACCCCCTTATGGGTCCTTCGAGTTCCATTTTCGACCAAACTTTTGGAATTCAACGCAATATTATTGCAAATTTGACTGGGAAGGCGGATCTTACTGGTTTGACATATACATACAACTTAGAGACAAGCCTAACTGCGTGAAGAATTGTAATTGGCTCATCATACCAAATGGTGCATGCAGGCTAATTGAAGGAAGGCCTGATTTGGTGGACAGGTGCTATCCCTGGAATTCATAATTATTTTGATTAATGTATTATTCTATTAATAATCGCTTGCTTTGTTAAATAAGAGTTTCTCTGTTGGGAGATTAGTGAAGTAAACCTAGCTTCAAATATCATGTCTCTTTGTCTCTTACAAAACAAGATAAATGAGATCTTTGGTTATGAGCCTTATTATTTTTCTTTTTTTTCTTCTTTTCACAATCGTATTCCAATTTAGGTTTGATCATATTTTGAAGCTAACATAAATTTAAGGAGTTAATTAACACTCTAATACAAAGTCATCATCCACTCAATACATGTAAAAATATTAGAGAATAAGCACTCGAATGAGTGCAAAAGGAAAATTTTGGAATTGGAGTGTTAACAACCATGATTTATTGGAGGTTTTAATGAAAATAGCTTAAAATAACAAAAATTTAATGAAAAACACTTGGTGAATTTTTATTATAGAGACAACAAAAAAAGCGGTGGTATTTTTGTAAATAAGTTGAAGTTTGGTGACAGTATCGAATAAGTTGAAAAGAGACAGTGACAATTTTTGCAAATAAGCTAAATTTTGGTGACACCGATAATTGTTTTTAAGGAAAACTAATAAAAAAAGGTTTGAAAACTTCGAGTTTTAACGATAAGGGCAAAATAAAGAGTAAAGTGAATAGTACCAAGATTGACTTTTTATTGAAAAAATATGATTTTTCGTTAAAGTTTCTTTGTTTTTAATTGTTAAAAACACATCTATTATTATAAAAAATTATAAAAAATAAAAAATAAAAATAAAAAAAACACTAATTTTACTTACCTAAGCTACCCTCATACCCCACATTATCCCCATGTATAGTGGGGATTGGCTCAAATGATTTAAAAAAATAAGTAAACTTTCGTTTGACCTCTTGAACTCTAATCCTAGTTGAAATCGACTCCCTGAACTATATTTTTGTCAAATTAATCTCATGAATTATTTGAAATTAGCCAATTAACCCCTCACCATCAAATATTAGCACACCTTTACTCTATATTTTACGACAAAGTAGATGAAATTTTATTGAATCTAACGGTGAGAGGTTAATTGGTTAATTTCAAAAAGTTAAAAGGAGTTAATTTACCAAAAACATAATTCAAGGGGTCAGTTTCAACTGGGATAATAGTTTGTCAAACGACAATGTACTCTTTTAAAAATTTAGTAGCTTTGACCGAAGCAACGTAGATTTTTATTAGAGATGCCAAAGTTGTTTATATTTTCGGCAAGCATCTACCGAATTGGTGATTCAACACGTCAATAACAAAACTATGCATCCTTTTCAATAGATATCTATTGAAAATATAGTTTACGAGGTCAAATGATAGTGTACTCTTTTAAAAGTTTAATAGCTTTAACCAAAGTAGCGTAAATTTTTATTGGAGATGCTAAAGTTTATATTTTCGGCAAGCATCTACCGAATTGGTGATTCAGCACGTCAATAACAAAACTATACACCCTTTTCAATAGGTATCTACTGAAAATATATAGTTTCACCAAACTCCTACGTAAGTGGTGCATATTTTCAATAGGATTCAACTTAAAAGTACATAAAAATGTACAAGTTTTTAACATGTGTTTATCGAAATATCTTCACCTTTTCAGTCGAGACCTAACGAAGAACTATATCGGGATTTAGGATTATAGAAACAGTAAGACAACATTCAAATTGAATGCAAAATGAAAAAAAATATATGAAGTCCTACCTCATGTAAAGCTTTTAGACTTTCAATTTGATATTTCATTCATAAAAATGAACTTTTTTCATTAATATTCAGATTACAAAAGTTTATTTAAAAACCTACCTAAATAGTCAATTCATATTAAGGCATATATGTCATTTTAAGTAAGATGTATTCAACAAAATGTGAGGTGTAAATAAAACAACCCATAATTTATTTAAAGTTTGAGTGATTGGACACGTGACAAGTGGTAGATTGTCTTAGTAGTTAAAGACTTCCTCTTTAACCTGCTATGTTCTGAGTTCAGACCCTCTTCCTCTTCCACGCAATATTATTGCAAATTTGATTGGGAAGACGGATCTCAATGGTTTGACATTTACTTACAACCAAGAGACAAACCTAATTGTGTCAAGAAATATGAGTGGCTCATAATACCGAACGGTGCATGCCGGCTAATTGAAGGAAGGCCATATTTGGTGGACAAGTGCTATCCTTGGAATGAGAGTTCAAATCTTTTACACTCAAAATCATATGTGGCTTATTTGTGACTTATCACATTTGTTAGCATTTGATCATTTATTTAAATCTTACTTACCAGTATTAACTCTTCAACTTATCTCTTTAATAAAAAAAAATTAAAAAAAATTAAATCAAAATAACACGTGTCACTCAACTAAATAAGCCACGTATAGTCTATAAGGAGTTTTGGTTATGAAAATTTGAACTCATGGAATGATGCCCCTTCATAATAACTTTGATTAATGTATCTTTATTCTATCAATAAAGTTTGCTTTGTTGTATAAGAGTTTCTCTTGGGAGAATAGTGAAGCAAGCCTAGCTTTCTTTGTTTCTCATTAGAAAAAAATTAGTGATATCGTCTTTTTTTATATACAATGATATTCAACATTCAAGAGAAGGAGAATTGGGTTCGATCACATAATGTGCAGGTTACTTACTAAGTATTATACTCAACAAAAATAAAATAGATTATCATCATCTATTTGCATCGAATATGAGACTCCTCAACTACAAGTGAAAAGAAATACCACTTTAAATAGTATTAGTTGCAAAAATTAATGAGAAGATTAATTCGTAAGTAATGATGAGTGTTACTATTTTTCTTACGTGAATCACCTTCTAATTACTTATATATTTTCTATTCTTTCTCTTCTTTTATGGAATGAGAGATTCAAACTCGATGTTAGATACCGTAGAAGTGGCAACAACACCTTGTATTAAGAGTAAATTTTAGTGTATCTGGAGTACTGTTGTGGTGTTTTACAATTTTACTGAAATTATAATATTTTTTTTTGTTGGAACAAACAAAATTATCTACACTAGAGGAGGTGAGCTTAGCCTCATAATGGGCTAGCAATAATGTGGTTCAAATGATCTTTTGACGAGAATCAAACTTAAGATCTCTCACTTACAAGTGAAAATGAAGACCACAATATCATAGTACTAAGTGACCTCATATTATGTGTTATTGTTTTGTGTATCTGACCTGACCTAATAAGTCACGAAGGAGTTTCTTTTTGTCAAGATTGGGGTTTTGGGTTGTTTTACTTTTGATGGCCCATTTCGACCAATCGTCATTTGTTTGATTTTTATTTTTTTTAGTACAACTGATATTCTATACTAATTCATACTTTTAGAGGGGTTGAACTCAAGACGAAAAGGTTGAAAGAAAAGTTTGGCCCTGGTTGCAATCAAAGCTTGCAAATTTCATTTCATTTTTAATTTACTGGGTGGACGGGAAAGCAACAAAATTACTTACCCAAAAAAAAGAAGCTAACTTACTAAATAGCATTGAATATATTAAGGAGAGTACCTTAGGTGAAAAAGAGATCTAAGGGATGTTGGTAGATAACGATAAAATCAGCCCAAGGAGTGCAGGTGTTCTGAAATGGTTGATAAATACTCTCACTGCCTCACATGGTGGTTCCAAATTCTGCAAACAAAATGACAATGGATCAGTTCTTCAGCCTCAGAACCACCACTTGCAACACATAACAAAGCAAGAAATGTATTGCATTAATAATGTTCAAATAAATCTGAATTATGAGATATTATTTGTGACATCCTACATCATCCAGGAGAGTAATCCTTATATGTATATTCATATCCCTACCTAGCACGAGGCATTTTGGGAGCTCACTGGCTTCGGATTTCATCGGAACTCCGAAGTTAAGTCGAGTAGCGCGCAAGAGCATTCCAAGGATGGGTGACCCATCGGAAAGTTCTTGTGTGAGTTCCCAGAAACAAAACCGTGAGGACGTGGTAAGGGCCCAAAGCAGAGAATATCGTGCTACGGTGGTGGAGCGGGCCCGGGAAGTGATCGCCCGGGCCGGGATGTGACATTATTTCATGAGATTGTCACACCATCGCGTGACGTAATCTTTACTACTTATTAATAGAATACTCTTTATTAATAAATAAATAGAAACTAATGAAAATACTATTATACCCTTTCATGCATAATTGAAAGAAAATATCATAAAATAAATATCATGGGTATTAAGTAATTTTGCACAAAAAATACTCTGTTTTTTTTTTCCTTTTCTCACTCACATGTTATCAAAACATGTCTCTAATTTAAAAAATCTAAACTACATATTAAGAAAACACTGTTTGTCAACCAAAAACTAATAAAATTGCTACTATACTCTTTTAATACAAAACTGGAAGAAGATATTAGAAAAGAAAATAATGTGGGCCTTAAAGAAATTTTGTATAAACAGGTTTTTACTGTTTTTTTTTCTTTTCTAAACTTCACAACTATATCAGTTTATCCATACCCTCTCAACTCATTCTCTTTCTCTCTCTTTCCTAATAGCCAACCCCTAATTTTTTGGGATGCCTGCCAACCTGTTAAAAACAAATAACTCCGCTCATAAAACTGTTAAAATACAAATATTTCTCAACACACAAGAGTACGTGACCTTTGCTAGTAAAAATAAAAATACCCTCCCCACCCCCATGTTTTCGGTCCCTCACTCCCTCCCTCTTTAACATTTCTCTCCAACTTCTCTCTTTAATGCTTTCCAACAACAAAATAAAATCTTTCATATTTATACACGTAGTGTGTGAACTTCATCTCATATTTAATAAGAATTATGTATCGAGGTGCAACATTTGTGTATTAATATTACATCGTATGGTTAAAGAGACATAAATAAACAAGGTGTACGCATAAGAAGAAAACAAGTGTGAGAAAACCATTTCTCTGTCAAATTATCCATTTCACATTTTAGGTTTTGAGTAATTTTTAAAATAGGTCTTCGAAATTATCTCTCATGTTGAACCATAACATATTGAAATTCATCACCAATCTAATTGAATGTTTGATTCTTCGTTAAATTGATGACATAGTGAGCGAGATACTCACACTTGGGCTTTTGTCTAAGCCATATTTGCACTACATAGAAAAAAAAAATTAACATTTTGATGGAGAATTAGACGTCAAACAAACGACAAGTGTAAACTGTTACAATTTTTAAATCTCATGATGCAATGAGAGAAATTAGAACTTGTGACTTATTTTGAAAACTAGATCAACCGTGGCAAATCATCACGTGATAGCCTCACCATAATAATGGGATATCAAATTCTCATGCATCCATGAGAGTCGAATTTAATATCTCTCTCATTTACAATTACAGAAAAATATAAATGAACCGAAAATGAATGTTTCGTCTCTAAAGTGAAAAAAGGGATAAAAGCCCTCAAACAAGTGGTACTGCCCAAAACGTTTTGTGGTGACATAAAGACTTGATTCCAAACTTTATCCACCATCATCCGAATCCCCACCGTCCAAGAGTAACAACCCCCCCATGAACACATGTCAATGCATCAAGACCGTCCATTCCAAACTTTTAATTGAAAAACCAATAAATTATTTTTGAAAGAAATAAATTAGAATAAGGAGAGAGAATGGTAATGAGTAAAAAAGAAAAAAAAAATAGTTTTGACAAACTACACTTGTTCTTATTCCTTTCAACAAGCTGTGAGGCTGTAAGAGTGTAAGTTCTCTGCACCATAACTTATCAATCCACACTCTAAACTTAAAACTGCAAATCCTTTTATTTTAAAATAAAAAATCGTACCAGAAATGTACATTTGTATTCGCCCTTCCAACTTCAGCAGAAACAGCCTCCAGATTTTAAGCCAAAACCTGCAAATTGAAATAAAACAACACAAATCTACGTAAATTTTGATTCAACATCTCTATTTTCTATTAAACTCCTTTAATTGGATTATATTCGAAAACTAAAGAAAGGAAAAAAACAGAAACGGAGTACTCATGCATTAGAATTTACATTTGTCCTTGACTTCTCAAGAATTCAATTCAAGAAGAAGAAAAAAGGGTATCTGAAGAAGTTAAAGCGCTGTTAGAATTACCTTTGATTTGAGAAGTTTCATCAAATTCCAGAATTGGAGGCAGGGAGTAATCAAAAGGCTTATCAGAAAAACATGATGAAAGTCGAGAGAGAGAGAGAGAGAGAGAGAGAGAGATTATTAGGAGTTGAGAGTAGAATATATGAGAGAGAAATTGAGAAGTGTTTGTTTGGATGCGGTCTTTTGTTGTAAAGTTGCAGTGTCTGTATGTTATGGTGGTGTATCTATGCTTTTCTACGTTGGATTACCACTCTCTCTCTCTCTCTCTCTCTTCAAAAATAATAAAAAAGAAAGGAACACTTGGGCATGGCGTGGCGAATAGTGGGGGAAATCCTTTTAAATCCTTAAAATATGAACGAATCAATCATTTCAATTTCGTCCATAAAATGATGCGGCACCAAACAGCTCTTGTTCTTCTTCTCCTACCAATTTTTGTAACCCCTTGCAAGTGGTTTTGGGAGTGTGCGAAGCTCATCGAAAGTGCTTTTATATATTCCGTGCTAAAAAATTAACAGTTAGATTTCGATATAAGTATCTAATGCTCGTACAATTAAGCGGTACGTACTGTTTAGGTAGATTGATAATGGGCCTAAAATGATTTTAGTAGTGACATTTTAAAGAATGGGCAGTACGGTAGGATTTCTAACTTTCAAACTTCGGCGGGCAATTTTGGGGCAGGACACTATTTAATGCTAGCTCGGACTGGACAATTTCCGGCCTAAGCATGAATATTTCATGTTTGCAAAATTGGACAATATACACCCTTCATTTATCGTCTGTTTTTTCAGTCTCCGTAGGTATTAAAATAGTGTTGATGTAAGCTCCTAATAACGACCATTGATGGATGGTTTACACAAAAATGGAAGTGGACCAATTCCTAAATAGAGAAATGGAAAGATAAATCAAGTTGCAAAGCTAATTAACTAACGATAAAATTAATTAGTCTTTATATGTGGGAATTATTTGTGTATGACTTTTGTTCATTATGCAAAGGGAAATGAATAATGATTTTATTGATTTTTTCTGATTTGAATTGTAATACTTCTCATATCTTGAAAGCCTTATGGGAAGGCATATTTATACATAATACAAAGAAAGCTTCAGATGCAACAGCACACATGCACATGCAATTCCTTTCCCTGCTGTCCATGAGTCAGCAACAAAGAAAGCTGAAAGCTTTACACCCTTGTTGTCCTTTACACCCTTGCTGTCTTGCTGTGCTGTGCTGTCTGTACACCCATGTGCTTTGAGTGCACACCCTTGCTGTATGCTTGCTGTGCTGTGCTGTCTGTACACCCATGTGCTTCTTCCAATACTCCCCCTCAAGCTGGATCCAGTAGGTTGATAGATCCAAGCTTGGAAAGGAGTCTTTGAAACTGATGAGAAGTCAGAGGTTTGGTGAATATATCAGCCAGCTGATCGAAGCTTTTTACATAATGTGTCTGAATCACCTGCGACTGTACTTGTTCACGGACATAGTGACAGTCAACTTCAATATGCTTCGTCCTTTCGTGAAAGACGGGGTTTGATGCTATGTGCATGGCAGCCTGGTTGTCACAAAATAAGGTCATTGGTTGAGCTGTGAACACACCTAAGTCACATAAAAGTCCTTTTAGCCATATCAGCTCACACGCGGTTGAGGCCATTGCACGATATTCAGCTTCGGCACTTGATCTTGCGATGACAGTTTGTTTCTTGCTCTTCCACGTGACCAAGTTTCCACCAACAAAGGTACAATAACCAGTGGTGGACTTGCGATCGATTGCATTTCCTGCCCAATCAGCATCACAGTACCCCATGATTTGAGTGTTGTCATTCTTTGCCATGAGGATGCCACGACCAACAGACCCTTTTAAGTACCGTAAGATTCTTTTGACAAGGTTCAGATGCTCGATGGTGGGAGAGTGCATGAACTGATTGGCAATACTTACTGAATGTGAGATGTCTGGTCTGGTGATCGTTAGGTAGATCAGCTTGCCGACAAGCCTCTGATATAAGCTGATATCCGAGAGTGGCGTGCCTCCCAAGTCAAGCTTGAGCTTGCTATCAAGAGGGGTAAGTGCAGGCTTGGCATCACTCATATTGGCATCTTTAAGTAGGTCCATGACATACTTTCGTTGATTAAGAAATAGTCCCTTGTAAGAAGATGCCATTTCGATTCCAAGAAAATACTTCAACACCCCAAGATCTTTAATCGCAAATTGTTGTTGAAGTGACTGTTTGAGTGTGGTGATTTCAGCAGCATTATCACCTGTTATTATTAAGTCATCCACATATATCAACACAACTAATTTGCTTGCAGCTCTTGTGCGAACAAATAATGATGAATCTGCATTACTCCTTTTGAAACCAATGTTATGAAGAACGGTACTTAGTTTTGCATACCAAGCACGTGGTGATTGCTTCAGTCCATAAATTGACTTATGTAACTTACACACCAAATTAGGCTCTTGGCTTTGTGGGTGTCCTGGTGGCAATCTCATATAGACTTCTTCTTCAAGATCACCATGTAGAAAAGCGTTCTTCACGTCCATTTGATACATAGACCAACCTTTATTGACGGCAACAGACAATAGAACCCTTACTGAGTTCATTTTTGCAACAGGAGCAAATGTTTCCTTGTAATCCACCTCAAATGTTTGAGTCAATCCTCGAGCCACCAGCCTGGCTTTATGCCTCTCAATTGAACCATCAGAATTAAACTTGATCTTATAGATCCACTTACAGCCCACTGCCTTTTTTCCTTGTGGAAGTTTGGTGATGCTCCAGGTTTTGTGTTGGTCTAGTGCTTTGAGTTCATCTCTCATTGCTTCTTTCCACACAACTTGATTATTAGCCTCATAAAAGTTTTGAGGCTCACTGTGACTTGAAATGTTGTTAAGAAAGGCAGCATGAGATGGAGTTACCTTTTGATACGACACGCAATTTGAAATTGGATGCCTCAGTTTATATGTGACAAAATCTTGAAACCTTGTGGGAGGTTGTTTATCACGCCGAGGATTGCGTCGAGGTACTAGGAGGTTTGTCTCATCCTCGTTCAAATTGTCATCCACACCTTGAGGATTTTCTATGTTGCCGTTGTCATCATCATGCACCGAGTCATCATCATGCACAGAATTATCAGGATGAGTACCTTCATTATTGACTTCAATGGGAGGTGTAGAAGTACAGATTCTTGGTAGAGGAATTAGATCTAAGATGCACTCCCCCTGACTTGTGGCTTCATGTGATTTGCTGAAAAAAGGGTTAGCTTCATGGAATCGTACATCTTTAGATACAATTATTTTTCTTAGTTGAGGATCATAGCACTTATATCCTTTTTGTGTTGATGAATAACCAAGAAAAATACATTTGAGAGCTCTAAGGTCCAACTTATCTCGATGGGGTGACTGTATATGAACAAAACAAACACAGCCAAAGACTCTAAGATGTGAAAGGTCGATTTTTCTTCCTTTCATGACTTCAAGTGGAGATTTAAACCCCAAGACTCGGCTAGGAAGTCTATTGATGATGTACACAGCCGCCATGACTCCTTGTGACCAAAATCTCTTTGGTACGTTCATTTGTAACATTAATGCTCTCGTTTTTTTCCAGAATGTCACGATTTTTCCTTTCAGCTACACCATTTTGTTGAGGTGTGCCGACACAATTTGTTTGATGCATGATACCATGCTTGCTCAAATATAATGACATGATATGGGACATATATTCGGTGCCATTGTCAGATCTTAAGGTTTGAATTTGAGAGGAAAAATGGTTCTTTGTGAAAATCCTTAAAAACTTCAATCACTTCACTCTTAGACTTTAAAAGGTACAACCATGTGGCTCTAGAGAAATCATCGACAAAAGTTACATAATACTTATAACCATCAAAAGATTCAAACGTTGGTCCCCATACATCTGAGTGAACTAGTTCGAAAACTTTACTAGTCCTAGATAAGGATGAGGTAAAAGACAATCTGGTGGCTTTAGACAAATGACATGTTTCACACGAAATTAAATCATTACCTAAGTTTGGAAACAAGGAAGACAAAACAGGTTGGGAAGGATGAGCTAAACGTTGATGCCACAATTGACTATCTTGGGATGGACTGGACTTGGCTTGAAATCCTCTGGGACTGTTTTTTGATATGTAATAGAGGCCATCAAGGTAAAACCCTTCACCAATCGTCTTCTTGGTGAGGCAATCCTGAAAAATGACATTGTGAGGAGAGAAAATGGCCAAACAATTTAAGGTATTGGTGATTTTTCCCACAGATAGAAGTTGAAATGGAAAAGAATGAACAAATAAGGCTACTGACTCAATTTTGTCCAATATTAAGTTGATATTTCCCTTCCCTAAAACCTTAGAACTCTCACCATTGGCAGTTGAGACTTGAGACGGTTTTGAAAATTTTTCAAACTTGTGAAACTTAGAAACATGGTTGGTCATATGATCTGTGGCACCCGAATCAACAATCCACAAATCATGCATCATATTTACATTAAGAGCAGTTTTAAAAGCAGTCATGATACCTTGCATGTCATCTTGGGCCATGTGTTGTGTTTCTGTCAGAAATCCAGCAAACTTGCCTAGCAAAGCTATTGAATTTCCATCTTCAAAGCCGACCGTTTGGTCACTCTTAATCCTTTCTTTCTTGCTTTGAAGATACACTGCAAACTCATTTATGAGTGCAGCTGGATTTGCAATGAAGCTCTTGAGTGCATCAGACCTATGAGAGGTTGAGGTAGTTGCATTGTTGGCTCTATGTGGTGCACGGTTCAGTCTTTGTGAGCCCTTGTTATCCTTCATGAACTCTGGCTTTAATTCTGGATGTAAAATCCAGCATGTCTCCTTAACGTGACCAGTATAGTTGCAGTGTTGGCACTTTAAGTGTGGATTCTTCACTTTGTATTTTCTTTCGTTGGCTAGATAAGCCCTTGCTTCAGTTACACTGGTCTTTGTGCCAGTGTTCATGACTTTCCTTCATACTTCTTCACGTTGGATTGTTGCACATACGCTGGTGAAGGAATGTAGTTCGGGGTTCATGAGTATGTGGCTTCGTAGGTCTTCGTATCCTGGATCGAGACTTGACAAGAGTTGGAATATCTTGTCTTCTTCTGCCCTTTTCAGTAGTAAAGACGCCTCAGTTGTGTGAGGCCGATACATTTCCAACTCATTCCACATGCTCTTCATGCTGCCTAAAAGTTGAACAAAGGGCTTTCCTTCTTGTTGTATGTTGGAAATGTTCTTCTTCAATTGAAACACACGTGCAGCATTGTTCTGGCTGCCATACATTTCCTTGACTGTCTGCCATAGTTTGAATGATGATTCAGAATAATTGAATATTTCAGCTAGTTTACGTTCCATGGAATTTAGGAGCCATGACATAACTAGCTGATCCTTGCAAAGCCAGATTTCATAAGTTGGTGAAGAGACATCAGGGACTTCGATGCTTCCATTTATGAACCCTAGCTTAGACCTTCCACCTAGGGCAAGACTCACTGCTCTCGACCAAGGTAAGTAATTAAACTCATTTAACAAGACTGAGCTTAATCTTTGATTTGGATTGACATCCACCTCAGACACGGTTGAGGAGGAAGGTATCTGGGAATCTCCAAACGAATAAGAATTCTCTTCCGCCATATAAAGACCTATAAGAATAAAGAAAGAATTTTTTTTTTTTTTTTTATAATCAGAAAAAAACAGAAATCTTTGGATGCTTACTGTTTCCCACCATTAAAGTTATCACCTCTCTGTGATTTCCCCTTTCCCACGAGAAATCTGTAGCTTCCTCTCACGGAAAAGTGCTTTTCTTCCCCACCAGAAACACTTTCTTCCTCCCTGCTATAAAACCCATACCGCCAAATCCATTTCTTTCACTCACAGAGTGTCAGAGCTTGCTTCCAATGGCGGAAAAGCAGAGGAAAAAAAAATCACCGACGAATTCACCGGGAAAGGCTCGATCGGACCCTTATCCGCCGTACATCCAAACTTAGTCGATCGCGATGACGAAGATTCTCATGCGACGCTGAGTTTCGACTCGGACAGCTCCTCCGACTCTGATGGCGAGTCGACACGGTTGTCGGGACTCGCGGCTTGCTTCCGAGTCGTGTCCGAGTCGATTCAGAGAATGGAGCAAGCGGAGATAGAGATGGCCAAGGCAAGGGAGGCTCTGCGGCTGAAGGCGGAGAAGCAGCGGGTCGAGCTGGAGACCAAGTTGACACAGATGCTGCTGCAGACACAGTTGCAGATCGCGTCGTTGGTTTCTCAGCGGCAGAGTCGTCCGAGTCGTAAAAGGAAGCGAGTCGAAGAAGACGAGCCGTCGTCGATGTGAGGTTCGAGGAGGGACTTCCCCCGATCTTGACGGCGTTTGAGGTGCTGGACAACTCGATCCGGTTGGTGCTCGAGGTGGCTCAGCATTTGGGCGAGAGCATGGTCATGACCAGTTCTATCCAAACAATCAAGCAAGCTTCGCAGCAGGTTTCATTCTCAGAAGCAGCAGCACCAGTTTCAGCAGCATCAGCTCCATTAACTTCAGCAGCAAGCTTCGCAGAGGCAGGTTATTTTTCCTGCTCTGATACCATATTGATTTTTTTTATTTGAATTGCAATACTTCTCATATCTTGAAAGCCTTATGGGAAGGCATATTTATACATAATACAAAGAAAGCTTCGGATGCAACAGCACACATGCACATGCAATTCCTTTCCCTGCTGTCCATGAGCCAGCAACAAAGAAAGCTGAAAGCTTTACACCCTTGCTGTCCTTTACACCCTTGCTGTCTTGCTGTGCTGTGCTGTCTGTACACCCATGTGCTTTGAGTGCACACCCTTGCTGTATGCTTGCTGTGTTGTGCTGTCTGTACACCCATGTGCTTCTTCCAATAGATTTATTGTGAGGCTTATCTCAAAAATCTCCCCTTTTAGTGTTGTTGTATATTATATAAGGACGTGTGATGTTGTACAAAATTTATGAATACTATATCAGTGAGTTTTGTTGGCTATATGTATACATGATATCTTATGGGGTACCCATTTTTCATGGTAAGCCAAGGAGAATTCACTTTCAAGCCTTGGTAGATAAGGCTAAAGCTCGTCTATCAAATTGGAAAGGTAAACTTCTTTTAATGGCAAGATGACTTCAATTGGTGCAGTATGTTTATGAAAGCTTATTTTTTTCATGGTTTCTAGTTTATCAATTGTCATCGTGCCTTTTAAAGCATCTTACTGCTTGTGCGTGGAATTTTCTCAAGAGACCTGGCTTCTCGAAAGTTGGTAACTATTATTGACTAGAGTATGGTATATGGACCTAAGCAGGAAGGTTGGCTTGGTCTACATGATTTAGCTTCTTTGGACTTGATGGCTTTACTTAGTTTCGGCTAGGATGATTTACAATCTTTTTTTTTTTGTGGGGCTCTTTTGCTTCTCAATATTTTCTTCTTGTGCCTTAAAAAAAAGATATCTACTTACGATCTTTTGTGTAGCATGGATTGAAGCGTGCTTTACCTATTCTGAATACTAATAGTCATTAGATTATCAGTGATAGGAGGTCAGTTTCCTTTTGGTTCAACAAATGGTTGGATGATCCGATTATTAACTCTTCATTATCTCCAGTCATTTTACCTATGATTCTTCCTTGGTTTTCTGATGCTATTGAATCTCAAAGTTGGTGATTGCCAGATTATTTTATAGATTTGTTCCCATCTATGGTGCAACATATTTTACATCTTCCTTTGCCTTTAAATGTAAAGGATGACAAATTGATTTGGAAACCATTGCCTACTAAGATTTTTTCTTTTTTCTTTTGGATATTATCTTATTCAAAGGAAATATAATGATTGTGCTTGGGCTAAGGTTATTTGGCGACATTTTATTTTGCCTCAACTATCTATTTTGGTTTGACGGAATTTTCATGATAAACTTCCTACTGAGGGTACTATCAATCGACGTGGTATTTCTTTGGCATCCATTTGTTACTTATGTCATAATTTTGGGGAATCTACTGCTCATTTTTCTTCGGCTGTTGAATATCTAGGTAGCTTTAAAGGTGGTTAGCATGTCATTTGGTATTTCTTTGCCTCTTTTAAACTCTTTGGTTGCGTTCTAGGATGTCTATGTATGTAAGCCTTTTTCCCAATAGTTGCATCAATCTCTGAATTTTTTGGGGTTTTTCTACTTTTTTGGCTATTTGGAAAGCTCGAAATAAGTTTATTTTGAGGGTCGTCCAATCTACTTTCATTGTCTTTACATGTCTATCAATTATGGGATCATCCATATTGGAAAGTTTATTCCTAGTTACTCTCAGGGTTTGGGCACTGATGCGAGAATTACTTGACACTCAAATTAAACCCTCGTTTGACAATTGTAGTAGAATGGATAAGTGAGGGATCGTTCTAGACCGGGGATTAGGAGGGCTTGCTAAAACCTTCTAAATTGACTTAAAAACATATAAACACAATATAAAACACTATTTAATGCTCGAAGAAAGCAAAACTAAAAATAAGAAAGATTAAGACTAAGACTTCAACGAAATAAGGGGGAATTGGATTTGGACGAATTTAAACTAAAACGTAAAAACAATATAAAACGTTAAACTAGACTCAAAGAATGTGAAACTAAACGTTAAAACACTAAAACAAACCAAAAGAATCAAAATGCTTTAAAAACACAAACTAAATTGATTTCTAACTATATTGAACATTAAAGCAAAAGGGGGATTGAGGTTTGATGAAAATTGAAATAACGAAACAAGTTAATAACTAGACAGAATGTAATTGATGAAATAAGATGGTTGGTGAATTAGCTAGAGGTTCTTTCTCCACACATAATATTTATGCATATGAATCAATTTCCAGTTATTCCTTCATTGAATTATGAACGACAATGCCCCAAATTAACCGTGACATCACTAGTTAACCCTCAGATTTTCCTTATATTATTGGATTGGATGGCATCATTCGACAACCCAAAACATTCTCAAAAGTTCCCTATATGTCATCATAATAGAGATACAATCGAAGATCATTAAGAATAATGAAAACCATAAGCATTGACAAAGCACTTGCAACTATGACATCATGTTACTCATGCTAAGAATTAAACTTAACGCGATCGTGACAAGCGACCTTCACTACTTTCAAGTATAAGTTAGTAACGATTATGTGAAACCTTCTTAAACTTTAGCCACATATTCATGCATGCTAATTAAGTGTCGACCCTCAATCAACAAACACAAATAAGTTAATCATCAAATAGTTAAGCCAATTGCATTCACGAATCAAGAGTTCATAACCGGAATTCATCAATTCATATTACATAAATAATCATGGTATTGAAATCACCCCTAGCTAAAAAGGGTTTAGTTCCTCATAACTTTGAAATCAAAGAAACACCTAAACATTCCAACAACTCAAACGTGAATTGTATGAACGTTTAGGCCCTCTTATCTTCCATTCCTCATATTACAAAACAAAGAGAATTGAATTTAAACTTTGAAATCAAAGAAACACGTAAACATTCCAACAACTCAAACGTGAATTGTATGAACGTTTAGGCCCTCTTATCTTCCTCTTTATTGTGGCACAAGAACTAAGGGATGTTGTAGGTGTGTTGAATGGATTGGGGGATTATGGAAATGGAAGAAATGGAGGAGAAATGGAAGAAAAACTCACGGCTAGGGAGAAGATGGAAGTGTTTGTGGTGTGTTGTGTATGAAATGAGATGATGAATGAATGAATGAATGCAAGGGTATTTATAGGAGTAGTGGAGGGAACATATAGGGAGAGAATGGATGGGAGAGCATGTGAATGATAGCTAGGAGAATGATTAAAGGGGTGTGAATGGTTGGAAATGCATGTGGGTGAATTGGTGGTGCAATGATGAAAGAATAAGTGCATGTGTGTGTTTTGTGTTGGAATGAATGTGGATGCATGATGAAAAGTTAATAAATAATGCATGTAGGGTTAGGAAATAAAATCATAACTTAAAGGGGGGATGATTAAAGGA